CTGAACCTCTTCGAACGATAACCGTCGGAAAGCTGGGCCTTCACCGCTTGTCGGATTTCCCGTTCCCGACGACGGATCTCGGCCTCTCGGCGCTGGGTTGGTCTCGCGCTGTGTTTGGGATCGAAGTGAGCTCTCGTGGGAATCAGAATAACTAGGGTAAGTGTTATAACCCGGTTTTCCTCCAAAATCCAACCGGGTCCCCCGACCCGCCTGGGCCTTCCGGATCCTGTCCACCGCCTCCAGCCTGTCTTCCACCTATTGGGCTAAGTCCATGGCATCTAGCAAATGGCTGGGTCGGTGCATCTTTACCTCCGCTCTAATATCGTCCCTTAGTCCATTCAGGAAGGCACTTCGGAACACCTTTTTTGGGATTCCCTGCAAAGTCGCCGCCAGCATCTCGAACTCCTCCTGGTACTCTGTCACCCGTCCTCCTTGCCGGAGCTCCATAAGCCGCTCCGTCGGGTCTCTTTCACCTGTGCTCTCCCCGTGCTCGGGGCCTCGGCGGTGATCGATAACGTGGGGGTCCCCCACCCCTTCCGGCCGGTTCCCGTCGCGGAGGACTGAACCTACCCCGGATGGGTCGCTCCGGTCCCCTTCCTGGCGGTGAGCGTCCGTCTCGGGCTCTCCTCGGTGGCGAGGGGTCTTCCTCTGGCCGGCGTGGTGGCGCACGTGCCTGCCTCATCAAGAACTCCTCCAGCCTCATGATCGTTCCTTGGAGTCCTTCGATCTTGGCTCCCATTGATGCCATATTTCCCTGCATCTCCCCCATTTGTGTTCCCAGCGATTCAACCTCCCCTTGCCAACCGGGCATCCTATCCATGCTGTCTCCGATCTCCTGCAGGGTGTCCTGAAAACTGTTCAACCGCCTCTCCACGGAGGCTACTCGGTCAGCCTGGTTCGCCATGGACCGTAGGGCTCTGATACCAATTTGTTAGGAACCTAGCAATTTAATGATATTTATGTTGGAATAGTGAAGAACTCAACCAGAAAAGTGGTCTGGTTTCTTATATTGATCAAGGCAAAGCCAAATTACAGGAAACAAATACACTGGGGAAAATAAAATGAAGGAGAGTTTGAGGACTCCTCCTAACCTCCACCTCCTAACTTCTCTCAAAGATTCTCGATGCCCTTTTCCATTACAGACCTCTCCTTATTTATTCTACTCACTCTCCCTAACAGACTCTCGGGATCCTCACCCGCCCAAGACCTTCTTGTAACAAACTTCTCTCCAGCTAATTCAAGTTCAATCCCGGAACTACCCCTGCCCCTTCCTTCTTTCTTTTCCTGGCATAAACAAACCTAAGGGGCGGGTGCCTAACAAAAAGAAAGAGCGAAAAAGACTCTCCTCTTCACTTATCCTCCCAACAACGAATTCTTGTGCCCATCCCCACATCCTATTCAATCAGTTAGGGTCCTTAATCTGGCTATGGTTTTGACCCACGAAATACAATTGAATATGTAAATTCCGTCTTTTGTTCAGGAAAAAAATTGCATCTTATCTTATGTAGTTAAAATGACTCACAATCAACACTCAACATCTTGAATGATTGATTTATATGCGACAGATCTAAATTATACGCCTTCTTCTCAATCCTGTGCACCTTTTTCGATGATTTATTGTTCCAGAAGATTGGACGGACAATATTACTGATTACTTGATTTAGCTTTTTTGTAATCATATGGATCTCTTTTCTGGTACTTTTGATAATGACCTGATCTTCTTTTTCTTTTCTGCGTTTCTGTATGTTTCAGTTGCAGAGATACAATTGTGCTCACCTTAAGATTATTTATTCTAAGGGTACGACATTTATCGATGAGGGAAGCACTATTATTTTTGTTTCACCTCTCTCCTTCCCTTCCACATACGCTTTTTCTGTGTAACCGAGGATATTCAAGTATTTACATCAAGGACTTGATTTTCTTGGCATTTTACTCTTGTGCTCTGTGCATAGTGATCTTATTTTTGTTCAACTTTAATCTTGGTATTAGCAGGCCGGTGAAAGAAGAAAAGGAAAGAAACGGGGTCTATTTTTTAACAAGTAGAACGATTATTTCATCCCGCTCTGTGGTTCAGCCTTGGCCTTAGCGTTTGCCAAATGAAGAATATCGGCTGTTGAGGGTCCGTCTACTTGTACGACGACTGAGCATTTGGGGTGTGTTGTCTCGAGTTTTGTGAAGCAGGAATGAGTTGGTGTTACAATTGTAATGTTGTGCAAAATTATTTATTTCCTTCTATTCTATGTTTAGGTCCATTTTGCTTCATTTGTCAAACTTTTCTTTGTCTCTTTCTGTCTAATCTCAGAACCAGTTATTTAAATCTTGGAGACGGAAAACACTAGTCCGAATTTGAAATTGTTTAAATGTAAATGTCAAAGTTAGATTTTACAGAAAAGTGGAAGGTTTATTTTTGTTGTACATAAGATTGAGCTTTGAGAATAATGAGGACCTACAGTTTTATTACTATGTGATTGAGCAATCATCATAGTAATATGCAATGAAGGAGAAGATTGTCTCTTTTCGTTGCTGCATTATGATTATATTTTATTTTGTAGTATTAGTAGTGAAGAAACTTTTAATCTTTTGAGCCTCCAGTAATAATTTTACACGTTATTTAGTTTTAGCTCAAATATTTAAAAACAAACTTGTAATTATGAAATATGATATCTGTTGGGTTCAAGAGCATTTGTTTGCTTGCTTTCATTTGGAGTTTGAAATCAAAATGAAAACGAAAGCATAAGAAACTGGATTTAGTTTCAAATGTATATCATGCGCTATGCGTGGTGAATTCAGACGCGGGATAATATTGACAAATACTCTTTAAAAATACATGAGTCAATACTTTTACTATTTATTCTTGATTTATAACCATTTTAATTAAATAATTATACTAACAAAATAGTATTTATTAAAGTAAAAGGTACAAACTCGCATGCTCAGTAAATTCTCTATTTTTTTAAAAAGGGGAAAAAGGAGGGGAGAAGTGGTCCATCCTCTTGGGTTTCACGAGACGATCGAATAGCACATACTACCAAACCAAAAATTAAACCTTTGTTTTTTCCCTCACAACTCTCAATTTAATAAGATATTATACGTTCCTATATAGCATATTATATATATATATATATATATATAATATACGTAAGGGATGTGTGAGTGTGAATGCAGAACGCATGAGAGAGAGAGAAGTAAGATGATCAAGTGGTGATGAAGAATACAAAAAATAGTCACGAGAGGAGGAATAATACATGTTAGAAGACCAAGACAAGACAACCAACCCCATTTACCAATTACCTCTCATTATAAGAACATCATTTCTCTTCTTCTTTTCTCACTCACACTCATGAATATTACTATATATATATATATATATATATATTTAATACATGTTAGAAGACCAAGACAAGACAACCAACCCCATTTACCAATTACCTCTCATTATAAGAACATCATTTCTCTTCTTCTTTTCTCACTCACACTCATGAATATTACTATATATATATATATATATATATATGTTGTATACATTAATTATTGTCCTCTCCATATATAATTGAGTGCCCACCGACCCATACAATTAATCAGGTTTACCTTTACTTTCCACTCCGCAAAAAAAAAAAAAAAAAAAAATGCTAAGGTCGTTGAATATTAAAGATAATTGCTCTTCTTTCTTGAGCTTCTTCTTCATTTTTTTCATCATCTTGTCTTGTAACTATAATCATGTTTATGCCCTAAATATCGGAGTCCAAGCCACCGGTACTTCCGTCAGCGTGGTAATAATTCATTAAGAGATTGTTCCTCCTCTTCTTTCTTCTTCTTCTTCTTCTTCTTACTTTTATTAATTAATTTCTTGAGCTATCTAACATGAATGAATGTATACTTTCGTTTTCTTAACAAATGAAAGTGGTATTTTCTCATGATGTTTTAATTTCTTGAGCTATCTAACATGAATGAATGTATACTTTCGTTTTCTTAACAAATGAAAGTGGTATTTTCTCATGATGTTTCTGCAGAGCAAAGGTTGCAGTAGAAAATGTGAGTCAGACTTCTGTTCAGGTAACATATTTATAATTTATATTTTTCCATATAATTATTATATTATTTATGTATATTAATATTTGTCTTTTGGAATTGAAAAAAAAAAAAAAAAAAAAAAAAAAAAAAAAAAAAAAAAAAAAAAAAAAAAAAAAGCCCCCGTT